ACTAAAGCTCTTACACAGAGTTTCATGTCTCCGAGACAGGTGCATTACTGCACAAATATGGCACTGCACCACTGCACCCAGCTGTATCGATACCCATGAATAATCAAGCACAGGTGCAGCAGTTCCAGACGCACAGAGTGAATTAAGGCGGCGGTTGTTTGCATCTTTTTCCTGTCTTAAGGATCTTTTGAATTCGGCCCACCTGTCTGTTTAAATAAGTCCAATGTAAAGGACGTATACAATCCATTGCTCTTCTCTGTGCTGTTGATGGCTTTGTCATCTGCTAGAGATGCATTTTTTGGTAATAATACTCAACCCCTTTAGAAAAAACGCCTTGCACAGCAGTTTTTAAAGATATTCATCAAACCAAAGTAAATGGGGTATTCTTTACAAAAGTGATAACATCCGCACAATAGTGTGTCACTGATGCGATGAGGAGTACCTATAATACCACAGAAAGCTGTTTGCCTTGAAAATACAACGAGGTAATTGTGAGCTAAATCGTACACAGCCCGCAGACAGGAAGAGAGGGACAAAATAGACCCTAATCTGGAGCTCTTTGTCTCTGTGAATGGGGCTATGTCTCTTTCTGTCTGGCTGTATCTCAGCAGCAGGAAGTCTTCCACTTCAGGAGGACCCAGTGCAGCGCGGCGGCTTGGTGCCAGCACAGGCTGCAGGGCCGGCTGGATGCTAGGTGACGGCTTAGAGAAAATCCCTCTCCTGAATAGATGGCCTGGATTATAAGCAGGGCAGGTCAACACCACAGACACACAGAAAGAAAAGGCTGAAGTTTACCACACTGCTCTTTGAGAAGGAATATGACATTTGAAACCCAATGCAGCCTTAAAGTATATGGAGCTGCAGGTTACCTCAACTTGTAATTAGTTCTCGTTCTTCATTAAGGCAAATTTGAATCCTGCCCACTAAGGAGAGACTAAGCTTCGGCCCGCAGCCCTCTAAAGCACAGTAACCGAGATCAAAGCCTCGGAAAAGTTTCTTCACTGAAATCTCATTGCATTGATCCACGCACGCTAAATTCAGCTGCGTTTGAATAATTTATGCAGGAAGAACAGCCCCAAGAGGCTCCGAGACAGGTCTGGGTCAGTATATGTTCTGCATCACACACGCACTGTGATCCAGCGGGACAGCTGTTTGGCCTCTGATCATTGATGGAATAAACATCCAATTAGAGTTGACCAGAGTAATCGAAGGAGATCTCCGACTCCAATGCTAACTAGACCACAACTTCCCCATGATTTTTCCTTCACCCTTAGTCTAAAGTAGCTCTGAAAAACAGCAGTTTAAGGTGCCTAAAATGTGTGTCAAAACTGTAAATTATTATCTGTACCAAGGCTCTCAATGGTTGCAGCCCTCTCCCGCTCTATTTGGCATAGTCCTGCTACAGTAACATCGACTGTATAAAGTGCTCTTATATTGTTTATTTGCAAATGACTTAGGCAACTTATCTGTATTTACACCGGTCCTTAAACAGCTTTATTAGCATTATATTGCATGAATAGTTGACATCTTTTAGTCCCTATCTGTCTGTCCCGTGATCTACATAACGCTGTCTGCAATAACATGCAAATTCTAATCAAATGCCCAATTTGCCTTTTAGGACATGTAAAGACTTAGAGACTGTTAAGACTCGGTATCTCTGTTTGGTCACCCTGCCTTCTGTTATCAGCACCACAGCGGTGGTGTGTTCATCAATGCCGGCCACTGTTTTCATGGAGCTTTAAGCACTGCAGCATGATGGTGACAACTACCGCTGGAGCCTCAACGATGACCCCGGTGCAATGCGAGGCAGCGAGATAAAACGAGCGTGAATGAGAGAAACTGGCACCGACTGTAGCCATCATCCGGAGCACGGCTGTTCATCAAAGTGTAAGAAGGGTGCCCACCCTGTCCAGACACCGTGGCACTAAGTGGACATGTGCATAAGCTGGTGGTCTGATTTATGTGGATGGTGCCTGGACAGTTCAGCAATTACATGTGTAAAAGATAAAAAGAGACACTACGAACGAGCAAGAACACGTCTATAAAAAACATCCCAACATGACCTGAATTCACTGTCCTCTTATACCTCTTATTTTATAAGCATATTTCAGAAATATTGTGTTGGCCCTTAAAAGTATTAGTACTAACAAACTTAAGAAATGTCACAATCCCCCCCCCCCCATTTGGCCCTTTGTTAGTTCAGGAATAGGAGCAGCGAACAAAAAGGAACAATGTTCCAAAAATAAGGAACCGGTAGATTAGTTAAGATTGTGGATAAAAATCTGTGAAAAAACGGAAAGCGTCTCTTAATCCACAAATGCACGCTTTAACTTTGAAAGGACAATAGAGTTCTTTGTTCAGAAAGCTTTCTCAGGTCAGATCCGTTCCCAACACTTTGAATAGTTAACCTCTGATAAGAGTTAAAGAACTAAGCATGTGTGCAGTTCCTCTTGTTACACTGCGACTCCCAACATAACTCCAACCAAATCTGTGGCTGGTCTTTATAAAAATAAGTCTGTGGAAGGTCGAAGGAAAGATGATGCCAACTATGGTCGGGTGTGTCATTAAAAAAATCTTGTGGAAAAAATTAAATAAAGCCAAACAATTAACACAATTAAATATAGATACCATTCCTTCATGAACTAACATCTTGCCTTTTTCACTGTTCTTTTATCTGTTCTTTTATCCGGTTTGGAGCCAGTAACTCTGTTTCCATAGAGCAGCCTCTCAGCTAAATTCAAAGAGCAACTGTCTGTGTTTTCCACAAATTGAGCTGTCTTTGCCAGGACTTGGAAAAATAGTCTTTCAATCAGAGCGAGGCATACAACAAAACGACAGAAAATAAATATCTGAGTACTTCATGGTATGAAGGCAAGAGGCTGAATCAGAAACAGGCCAACTGGCCATCGATCTTCTTGTGTGTGTCCACACTTGTAATACTTTAATAAATCAACAAGGCGCTGTGGTCGCTCTGGGATGGGGGCTCTCTGGGAGCGAGGACGCCTTACAAAGCAGTCCGTAAGTAACAGAGAAGAGCAGAGGGGTGGGAGGCCTGTAGAAGGGTGGAGTGAAGGAATGGCTGAACACAAAGAGCACAGAACAGAAACGGTACAACAAGATGGGGCTCGGGGATTGAATGCTGAAACGTGACTGTAGTAAAGAGGATTTAGACTGGGAGACAGAAGGAAAACAACTAGGCTGTGAACTCTGTGATGCAATTACTGAACTCAGAGCAAGGAGGGAAAAGAGAGGGAACAGATTGATTACCATGAGTATTGGTCCATGGAAAGAGAAGAAATCGTAGAAGAATGTGTCCTTTTCCTTGTTTTTTTTTTTCTTTCTTCTGTGACATAACAGAGACCTGGCAGCAAATAAACAGCTGAAACTTTGACCAAACGTACATCCAGAAACCATATTTCATTTGTGAACTTCTAATTCTGTGTCTGTTTGGATCAGTTATCAATTCAAAGGCCTCTATTTTAGCTGTAGGAGCTTTCAGTCTGGCAGCTGTCCCCGGCTCTGCTGTTCATCTACAAAAAATGCACAAAAAAGGAAATGATGGGGTTACAGGGGATGACTGGACAGGATATTCAGTTTCCCAAAAGAGTGGGAGAGCCCACACATTCTGTGTAACTGACTCAGGGCTCTCACAGGCACGTCGGTGGTCGTCATAGGAGACTTCACCGAGCACACAGAGGGCTGTTAAAATGCTTCTCTGCTTAAGTCATGACAGCTAACAGAAGCGGGCGGTTAGCTTGGCGTGTCTCCCTCCAGTAGTCAGCTAAGCCGGCCAGCTCTGACGTAGGGCAGTCTGGGACGCTGTGGTTAGTCCTAAAGGACGCTGAATTGATATGACTTGGAGAAAAAACAATTGGAGGTGGGGCTGAGTCATGCTAAGGAATTTCCTCCGAAGCGTGAGAGAAATGGGATCAGCTCAACTCAAAATGCTGAGCAGCCCCTCGCCACTGACATCCTTTATGGGAAAAAAGTTCCAGTGTAACTCTATCGCTTTTATGTCTGTCATCTCTCCACTGCACTGTCAGATGAGAGCCGCCCAATAACGTTCTGACGGCAAGAAATAAAGTCACTGATAAGCGAGAGGTCTCAAAGTGAGGGGTCGATGAATGCAGCTTCCATAGCTCAGCAGGATTCGCTGTCATAAAACTGCATTTTCATCCACAATTATCAAGAGATCTTTTCACTTTAGTGCGATTGGCTGTTTTTGCTGCAAAATGTTTTTAAAAAGCTAAAACAGACAGAATTCCCAGATAATCACATTAATAAGTTATTTTTTAATGTCTAAGTTTATTTACAATAGTTTCTTTGCTGTTTCCAATTAACTTGTCATTTGTGCTTCAATGTCAGCCGCTTACAAAAACAAGGCTTCAAAAGCAATATCAAAAAGGCTCCTATATTCAGTGTAGCTCTTCAGAGGAGCTGCCTCCTTACATTGTAAACAGGCAGATCTCAACCTAAATGGCTCAAACTGTGTGCATTTAGCAGCTTTACAACTGTAGCCTGGAATCCGTTTAATGAGCTGTAAATGAGTCCACCATTTAAATCAGGAGGCAGAGGTATGTCGGCCTAATCGGGGCCACTTCTGGCACCTGCAGCTTTATGGCACAGACAGGTGTTCTGGGTGTGAGCCGGGGCCCAGAGGTCAGCAGACTTGAAGCACACATGGCCCATGTCTGGTGATCTTCAGGTTGATTTTGGTGGGCACAATGGGTCACTGCTATGAGAAGAAAACTCCAGATATGGGCCATATTAGGACCAAAAAGTGATGTCTGTCTAGTTTAATTCTGAGTTCTGTGCAAGCTGTGATGGTAGCTTCAGGGCCCACACTAGATTGTGGTTTATGGAAAAACAGACAGGCCTCACTGCAAAGAGATTGATGCTCCTACACTTAAACATACACCCTGGTGCTACTGGCGCACAAGGAAGCCAGTTCCAAGATAATCGTTTGACGATGAAATTATAAATGTGCGGACTTTACTCACTTCCTCTTGTACTCATCCCTCTCTCGCTTGACTTTAGCCAGCACGTTGTACAGGGCCCTCAGTTCTGGGGTGATGGTGTCAATTTGGACCCCGACTCCGTCCGGATGCGTCCACGTCACCCCGGGTCCGCGGAGGGTCTCGAAGCGCTCCCCCTGCCTCCGGACGTGGGTGAAGCTCCAGATGGTGCCCGGCAGTCTGGACTCGGGGCCGTCCGTCTGCACGGCCACCTCCCGGGTGAACGGGGGGCGGTATTGCGGTCTCAGCAGAGCTTGCTGCAGCTGGCTCTCCAGGAGTTTGTTTCTCCTTTCCAGCTCGTGGACTTTGGCGAGGAAGCAGCGGAACCGCAGGTTGAGGGTCTTCAGCACGTGGATGTTGGAGCCCAGGTCGTTTCGCAGGGCGCTGGTCACCGCGCCCGACCCGGTGGGGGGGACGCTGCACACCGGACCGGGCAGCGAGTCGGAGAAAAACAGCGCACTCATGTTGGCAAACAAGGGAAAAAACAAAAAACAAAAAAAAACACAATAATCCAACTATGGCTCTGTCTTGTTTAAACACAGCAACTTAACCTGTTGTTTGTATTTTTCCCCAATCACAGCGTATTCCTTAAATCCCCCACTCCCACAGGACGTTTCTTTTCACAATGCAGATGCTGAAGATGGGGAGACCATCACCGTCCCTGCTGGATGTTTACCCCACGACACTAACATGGACCCCTGCAGCGTGGGTAGCAAACAACAACAACCCCAAAAAGTCCTTTAAAAGGCACAGAGGGCATCATCTCCTGGAGGAACCGGGACTTTGACGCAGACCGCAATAAGCACCGGCAGTCCTTCCCGTTACCCTCATGTCTCTGCGTGCCTCTGCTTCGTCAGGCGCTGCTGCTGCGGGTTCATATAGCCGGCCGACAGTGGGCAAAGATGGTCCTGCCTTCTTTCTTTTTTCATTCCCAGCTCTTGCGTTTGTCTATCCGCTCTCCATGTGGCGCGGTGGGGCAGGATGCAGCACCGCGGAGCCCGGCCTCTCCGTGGATCATGTTGCAAAGTGCTAAACTAGGCACTATCACCTACATCCACCCCTCCCACTTCCCTCCCCAAGCCTCTCCCTTTTTCACACACTCAGAAGACAGGCGTCACAAAAGTGCCCTACAGCGAGGCCAAAGCAATGCCAAACGAATCGCGAGACTTTGGAAACCTATCACGATATATTTAATATATTTATCTGACACGATTAAGATTAAACATCATCATTCATCGTTTATAGTCATCATAGTCTTGGAAACTGATTCACAGGAAAGATCTGTAACACCATCTAATATTCACAACACATGTATTGTAACCTTATTAAAAATCGTCAAAGAACATAATTTCAACATCTGACTTTTAATCATACGTTTTCTTTCTAAAAGCACACAAAAATATTTTGTGTTTCACTCAGCAAACGGTTTGCCACAGCAAATGTACTATGTCACATTTAGAACCTAATGAATAGCTACATTGTCTACAAAGCCTACCATCTGACAAGTCATCTCTGGAAATTAAATCAGAACAACACATTGGTCTATTATTACAATATCAATATTTCACTTTTTAAGCAGGTTGCCATGAAATCCCACAGTGTCACTCATTTAGAATAATGTGAGCACACAAACATTCTACCCACTGTATGTCTGCAAAAGGAACATCTATTCGTTGTTGTGGTATGTAGACTTCTAAATTGAAATGAGCTTTTTCTGCTTGTTGCTAGCTCTCTCCTACCAAACAAAATGTATTTCATGAGTGTTGTGTTAAAGGCAAAAACTATGTCTATATTCAGATGCCCATAGAGCAAAAAGATCTTAAGCATGACCTGAAAACCTATAGATTAATACTATAAATTACAGACAAATGGTTGTACTTTACAAAATACTGATACCTTAAACGACCCTGATCTTGATACCTTGTCTTTATTGGTACAATGCCATGCACAGTCATACTGTTATATTGACTTATGCAGGTCACTTTTAATTTCTTCAGACGGCCTAACTTCCGTTTATTCACTTCTGACCCATTTAACACTGGGTGAAATATCAGAGATATTGGATTTCACTGAAAGCCTCTGCACATTTTAAAATGAAGTGTTTAAATCCATCCATCCATCAATTCTCTGAACCGCTTATTCCCAAATGGGAATGGCAATGGGAAACGGCAGTGTTCGAGTCGTGTTCTGTTATTTTCTATCAGGCGCCACTCTGCCCGCCTCTCTGAACAGAAACACTCTGGGTCCTTTTACTTCACGTGTGCGCTAGCTGTTCTGCCATCGTGAGGAAACCATGCCGAAGTCAAAGAGGGACAAGAAAAGTAAGTAACGTTACACTGAAATGCAGACGTGTACGCTTTATGCGATCTCCAGTTGCTTTTTAACTTGTTTCAGACTCGACCAATTGTTTGTGTTGGGTGAACGCGACCATTATGAGGGTTATTAGCAAAGCTGCCTTCGTCTGTAACACAGACGCATCAAACTGACCACCAACATTCCCCCCCACAGTTTCGTTAACAAAAACCACCAAGAAGGGACTGGAATCAAAGCAGAAATTAATCGAGGATGTGAGTATTGGCCTTTTTTAGACGTGTCACTGCACGACCCTTAGCTGCCTGTGTTAACATCTCCTGATCTTCCGCCGCAGCTACGAAAATGTGTGGACACCTACAGAAACCTGTTCATATTCTCTGTGGCCAATGTGAGGAATAACAAGCTGAAAGACATAAGGACTGCATGGAAACACAGCAGGTAATGGCTCCTTTCCGTGCAGGTAACACTGCCCCCCTCCGGGGTAGATCATGTGCTATGAGAGAGGGATTTATCGAAGCATGTGCCAATGTGTCTGGTAAGTCTACAAGCTTGCAGGAGATTAGCAGAGGTTACAGGGACAGACCTGAGGCAACCCACATACAGTCAGGTGACAATATTCATAGACATCGTATTGATTAAGGACTGGAGAAGAGCAACAAACTCTTTAATTGACTCTCTATTTACTTAAAATTGATCTGTAAAAGTCATACTATCTCTGTTTCAATTACTATATATTTTTACAGTAGTTAAAATATAACCCCAGAGACTCGTTGGGATGTTGAATGATGAATATAAAACATCATACACAAGCATTCATATGTGAAAAATCCCTTCAAATCTGAATTAGAATTAATTTAAGTGCATGCTTCAGCTCTCAGGACACCAATTTTAGACCTTCAGTTAAATCCAAGTAATTAAGTCCTTTTTGATGATACTGTTACTAATATCTGCCTCCAATCCACAGATTTTTCTTTGGAAAAAATAAGGTCATGATTATTGCCTTGGGAAAAGGACACACAGATGAATATAAAGATAACTTACACAAGGTAATGTCTTCACAACAGTGAAGTCACAATAACCACCCTGACCTACGACAGAGACTTATTCTTTACACTTTTGATGTTCAGGTCAGCAAATATCTGCGAGGAGATGTGGGTGTGCTGTTCACAAATAAAACAAAGGACGAAGTACAAGAGTAAGAAACGTTTTGCTTAATTATGTTATTTTACTGATCATTTAAATATTGCTAAGCAGCTGACTAATTGTTGGGCTTTACTTGCAGATACTTCAATCATTTTAAAGAGATGGACTTTGCTCGCGCAGGCAACAAAGCACAGATGGACATAACTCTGGATGAGGGACCTCTTGAACAGTTCCCTCACTCGATGGAACCTCAGCTGAGACAGCTGGGACTCCCCACAGCTCTGAAGAAAGGTAATCACGGACAGGTCTTTTGATGTATATTTGATCCAATATGTGAAGAAAGGGGATGAAAAGACAGATGTAAAGAAAAGGAAAAAGGAAAGATGTAAGTTATTTTGCTATATTCTACATTGCCCAAGAGAGAGCAAAAAGTGGAACCCTGCAAAAATACATTTTTTCAATTTAATTTCAACAAGAAAACTTCTGTCTAGCAACCAGTGTGAAAAGACCAGTATTTAAAGACATAAAGGAGCAAAGACCCCATAACTATTCAAAGTCAGTCCCTTATCATGGCTAGAAGATTTAAGTTTTCTTCACTTATGCACTTGAAAGAAAAGGGTAACTGTAAAAATCTGAGATGGGCCAAGCTTAAAGGGGAAAAAGTAAACCCATCAGTCTCATGAGCTGAGGTGATCATGTGCTCTACAAAGTGTGGTGTTGCTAAAACAAGTCAGTCAGTATGCCGTCATTCTAGTTATTCAGAAACAGGCCATGAGAGAGCCCTCTGTGCTACAGGTGCAGCGGATGAACCTACCGGCCTGTTGGGTTCCTCTGTCATCCCGTTTGATTATGAATCCTGATGGTTTTTATCCTTTGTTTTAGGAGTGGTCACGCTGCTCAAAGACCACGAAGTCTGTAAGGAGGGAGACATGCTGACTCCTGAGCAGGCTCGGATTCTGGTGAGGAGCTGATTATTTACCTGATTAAAAAGGCTTACCACCTTGGTTTTGCTGTTCGTTCATATAATTTCATATTGTTCCCCTTTTCCCCACAGAAACTCTTTGCCATTGAGATGGCAGAATTCAAGGTGCAGATTAAATGTATGTGGAACTCAGAAACAGGAGAGTTTGACAACTTGGCTGGTCAAGAAGAGCCTATGCAGGATAGTGAAGAGGATGAAGATCCAGAGTGAAACTGCAACGGGAAGAAGAGGCCTTAAACACTCAAATTTAAAGTTATATTTCCCAACTTCATCACCAAAGGAACATTTATTTGGAGCTTTTCCTCTTTACCGCAAGTACCGTGCTACTCTGATGTCATGTGATAGTTTTTCCCTTTTTAAACACAAACTTCTGACCATCAACTTTAATTTAATCTGTGGACTAAGCCCTTATTAAGTCAACTTTGGGCATTGAATTCAAAGCAAGCAAACGTCTACTCGTGTCAATGCCATATATTTTTTCAATATTCATCTGCATGAATGGTTTCTATTAAAAACAAATGCTTTTCCAAACTACTGCCACCGTCCATGAGTGAAATCAGCAATCTTGCATATAATAATTTTATTAAAGTGTCAGTGGAATTTTTCAGTTTTACAATTTGTGCATAAGAAGACAACTGGGGGAATCTGAGCATAAGCAGATCTATATTCTGTCATGCTGTTGACTTGGAAGGGGATGAATCATCTGAAGTAGTTGGGGCAGTCGTGGGCTACGAGGTTCCAGGCATCTTTGAAGGCGTTGACCACTCTCTCATCCAGGGGACCCTCCTCTGCAGCAGCCAGGTTTTGCTGAAGCTGCTCCATGCTCGACATGCCGATGATGACTCCGTCTCCAAGATCACCCTTCACACAGATGTTCGAGAAGATTTAGTGACATCTTGTGGTTTCAATGGAAACTGCAACCAGTTCAAAATGTCTCCCTCACCCTGCATTTCTGACAGAGGCCTCTGAAATGCAGATGGCCTTCTGCAAACCTGGCCTCTCCTTTTAAGTCTGAAGTACTCTGAGATGATGCACGCCGTGAAGGTTAACTTTCTCTACCAGATGTTCTTTTAAAAACAAACTCTTTCCCTCAGATGTCTGCAGAAAGTTGTATCTTTTAAAGTCTTTACTCCCAGTGAACTTGGATGAACTGTAATTTTTTTTGGTGGCAGACATAAATACAACTGAAAGGAAACATCACAAGTTACATCTTTAAACTCGCTAATAAACAGGAAAAAATGACTTTCTACAAAAGTGCTGAGTAATGACTTAAGTTTTATCTGAGCATAAAAAATTATGTCTACATATTATTTAATATTTACCCTGCTTGTATTCTTAGTCACTATTTTACCATCCAATCCCTGGTTACCTTAAGTTGGGAGTGGTGGTACATCCAGCGCATGGCAGCCGATGTTAATGAGGGTTTCTCTGAGCCGTACACCGCCTCCAAGGTCCTGAGAACCACCTCTATGGCCTGGAAATGACTCTGCTTCCAGTATCTTACAATCAGCAGAATAACAGTCCCAGTCAGTTGGTGCTGCAAAAAAGAGGTGAGCAGACAGAGGGTCGAAGGCGAGTGCTCTCACCTGTCCCTGTAAGCTGCAGCCCAGTTGTTGCCAAAGAATCGTCCAGCAGGCTGAGAGCCGTCTTTGTCTTCGTAGTGGTACTTTCCTGTCAGAAGGCCACCTGGGAGGGGAGAGGCCATGTCAGAGCTAAGGCTCATCAGGGGCGTGCATGTGTGTTACCAAGCACAGGGACTCAAGATAGTCTGATGCACCCCCTTTTACGCCAAAACAGCAATATAGACCCACAGAATTCTACTGTTATACTAAAGTATACACTAGACTAAAGTATAAAGCTGTTACACTAGACTGAAGTATACAGCTGTTTTTAAAACAGGATAACCATCTACATGTGGAAGAATCTGAACTCACTGTACTTGTATTTGAATGTTTTTATTTGTTCTTCATTCTTCATCACAAACTAATCCTTAAGGGTCTGCAGGAAATAACAGTTTGGTAGTTCATACAAGTATTTAAGTCTCTAAACTGGTGAATCAAGAGACAGGTTCTGTCAGCAATGCTCATAAGGTGGATAAAAACAAAGATTTAACATGTTATTTGTATGTACAAGTCTTTCCTCCTCAGTACGTGATTCAATCACCACATCATGACAGCTCATGAGTGAATTATTTCAAAACTGCAAAGTGCAACACAAAAGACGGACAGTGTACCTGCTAAAGGATTGTAAGCGTAGAATTTCATCCCATAATATCTCAGGCACGGCAGCAACTCTGTTTCCACCTGCCTTGTAGTGGCATTATACATTCCCTGTGAAAAGTTCAGACTCTTAAGTTCCACTGTAAACAACGGTGCGGGCCAGATCCAACTAGGAGCACATTGATGAAAAACAACAACTTCCTTTCTTGCATTTTTAATGAACTATACATTTGGACTCTTTGTTGCAGTTGATGCATCAGTTAGGGATGAAAATCCCCGGTGAAAAATACAAAATTCCAGATGTGTGCAGCATTTGTTGGCTCAAAGGCATCTTCTTTTTTAAGAATGAATCCAATGAACACATTTTTTTACCATTTAAGCCAAGAGTACAGCACACATTATACGAACGTATAAAAAAAAAAAAAGTTCTTAAGAAAACACTAATAAAGTAAAAGGTATGTATTCCTACCTGATACACGGTAGGAACAATCCAGTTGTTATGTCTGCAGATGCACACAATTTCAGCCACTTCCCATGACGCATAGTTCGACAGCCCAAGCTCTTTGAATTTTCCCTGAGGGTATTATTTTAACATTAAATCAGATTAAAATCATTGAATGTGATGTTGTTACCCTTGGAATATACATCAACTTGGCTTTAACAGATGAGTTTAGTTAGTTTTATAATTTACACACTGGACAAATATGTTTTCCCCCCTTTAATTAACCACCTCTTTGTGGAGTTCATTGCAAGCCCTCAACGTGTCCTGGATGGGGTTTTGGTGATCGGGGGCATGGAGGTAGAAGAGGTCCACGCAGTCGGTCTGCAGCCTCTTCAGGGAGGTCTCTAACTGGGAGCGCACACTCTCTGGCTTCAGTGTTTTCCCATCCCAGGGGTTGGCCTTGGTAGCCATGCTAACTGGGGAAAAAATAGAAATAGTCATTTACTGGTTGTGATATTATTTCAGCACAGCTCAGACACTTTATTTATTTTCTTTATTGAGCAACAGCAATACAAAGACTCAAAGAGGATGGGGTGGACCCCAAACACAAAAAATGCTCACTTTTTAAAACAATTTTCTGAAAGAACACCCACCATCTGCCCCTCCCCCACATCCCCATGTTTAGGAACAGAGTGAAAATGAAAATAAATTTAAGTTACGGACTAAGAGATAAGAAGAGATAAGGGAGGGGAAAATGGGAACAGAAAGTAAAGAACAAAATACTAATAACCTTAAGAACAAGAATAGGGAAAAAAATAAATAAATAAAAAGCATTTTCCTGCTCAAATGAGCCTGATCTTACGCTTAAAAAAAAAGCCTGCTAGGCAGCCTATGCAGAAGTCCTATTATTAATAGCAGGTGCACTAATTAACCCCTGTGCCTAAGGTTTTAGTGGATGACACGGTTTTAACTCACACATTTTACTTTAGACATTGGAGGCAAACTATTAATTTAATTAGGTGGTAAAGTTACCAAATGGATGTAGAGAAGAAAATGTAAATGAGAGAGCAGGAAAAAGACATGGGGAAAAAGTCTGCAACTGTGCATGAAAACATCTGTATCTACTGGATTCCATCCACAACTTCAGGTCAGTTTTGAGTTTTACAACAGCAGTTTGCACCGACTTATGAGTTGACAGCATTACCTGTTTTAGGCAGTTTCATGTCCCCTATGATTGTCTCGGACTTTCCGTCCACGTACATGAACGCCGTGTCCAGGTGGCTGTGCCCCCTGCCCAGGAAAGCCTTCACCATGTCCAAACTCTGCTGGGCATCAGCTCGCCCGCCGAACGCCATGGTTCCCAGCAAAGACACGGGCCGTTTAGCGTTGGACGACATGCTTCTACCGTTCACGAACTTCGAGAGAGGTGTGAGTAAGTGTTTTATGGCCTTAACTTGTTGGAGTGTGCATAGTCCGCCCGGTATTACCCACCGCATGCTACCGCGCAGAAGCTAGCTTATTGCAAAGGGCAAAGGTCACAGAGGGAGCGTCGCGAAGTTACTCAGCCGCCTTGAAACGAAAAATATGCAGCGTGAAGTTAGATAGACGAACTATTCCGCGACTTTGAAAGGTTGCCTTTTAAAGAGAGCAAAGTTCATGATTTGTGACGGCTTCCTGTTGTTTTTGCCGCTTGTGTTAATAATTGTTCATGTCTCTGTTGCATAACACGCAGGACAAGTTCACGTAGTTACCATTTTTGACCACAAGATGTCAGTAGGTCAACATTCTACAGCTTGTAGTGCTCATAGTGCAGCCTCAGCTCCTAATCCGATCCCCATAGAGTACAAACAGTAACATATTAATACTGTGTAATGTTTTTATGACTTTAAATACACATTTTCATCAGCCTAAATGAATGTGTATTACCATTCAGAATTTTTTTCTTTTTTTGCTGTTACTTAATGGATCTATACTTCTCTTCATGAGGCCATCACTTGCTAATTAAATGTCCCAGAGTGGAATAAAAGGTTTGAATGCTGTTTAGAGCATTTATCAGCACATAATGGCCTCTCCTTATTTCTGTAAGACTGCACATTTAATTTGAAAACATATAAATTAAACTGGTTTCTTATGAGATTTGTTAACAGAGCTGCTTATATAAGTAATTTTAAAAATCTGTTTCATTCTTTATATATTTATTCTAAAAATGAGATTACTTCAAACACAGTAGACTTGGAAGTTTCGAGGACCACAGTAATTATCATGTAATTTTTCCAAAATCAACTCACACACAACTCACAAGTTTGACCACAAAACACTACCTCCCTGTCTTTGTGGCCGAAGCAGTTCACACTTGTGTGTTTCAAAAGGCTTTATTTAGCTGGATTTCAGTGATTTCTGTGGTAGATAAGTTATCAATGTGAACCAGCTCACATTTTCAGAATGGCCTGGGGTTGATTCAGAAGTTTGATCATCACAAGTCACCTGCTTTGTGCTGCTCGGCTGTGTGACCTCGGGTTAATCGTTTCATCCTCGTGTGTCAATGGAACAGATCCAGGGATGGACAAGTTTCTCTTGTCTGCATCATACTAATCAGTCTAATTGAGGTAGTTTTTATTTTTTTAAATGAACACGGCTGAGATGGGCTCTGATATGTCTGGGAGGTAATGGAAACATGCGTAGTGGCTGGTTGTTTGGGAGTTTGCGCGGACAGCGCTGACCCGGGACTCTTTCGGGTCATGAGCACACATGAGGGTCATGCAACGCTCTGTTTGGAGCGGTCACTTCTGGCTCCTGACCTTTTGACCGCCCCATCAGCTGTTTGACCCTGCAGAGTAGTCCCTGGCTGCTGCCTCAGGCGTCTCCCTGCCCAAACCTCCAGATGTCCATGGTTGGTATATCACTCATCTTTCTTCGATATCCACACGTCCGGTTGATATCCCTTTTACGCGCGCGTAAAATCCTGGCACAATAGGCAGCTGCGTCTTTACACGTAAGGTGAACCAGTTGGAACATTGAGCAAGTGTGCTCAACGCCACAAAATCCATTAAAACCAACACAGCCACACGATAAAATGTAGTTTTCTTTTTATTCCTTTTCCCATATTCAACCTCCGTGTGTGCGCTTTTGCCGGCTGCAGGGCGTCTCTTTGAATAATCGATGGCTCTTTTTTCACCCCCCACCCCCACCCCCTTCTTTCTCGTACCCTCCCCGCACCCTGCCATCATTACCAAGTCAATGCATGGAGGCAGAAAGAGAGGAGTCAGCCTCTCGGAGTTGTTTTTGCTCATCGCTCCAACATCTGCTCAGAAACACTTGTAGGTGCGCTGCTGTTTTCCGTCAGCGTTTCACAGCCTGCCAGCGACACGCGTGGGATGGCCGTGTCCTTATTGGACAGCAGTGGTCTGGTCAGCGCCGAGGAAAATTAGCACGCAAGTTTCTTCACGTTTGTTCATGGATTTTTAGCCATATCTTTTAAAATAATATTTTGGCGCTTGAATTGTTCTGGGAAGGAGAGACACTCATGATTGAGTTTGAGTGGTTCATGTTTTTTAAACATTTTTTTTATTAATGAAAATGAAAAGTTTCCTTTTTTCATTTTTTCTCATTTTTATCAAAGAGACTTACACTTTCAGTCACAATGCTGCCGGTAATCTCCAGCCCCACATGTAAGTACATTTTTGCTCTGTTTATCCATCTGGAAGTAGCTATATCTAACTTGTGTTTAGATGAAAATATTCTTTAAGAATTATACTCTTCATCTTCAACCTCGCACTGTCTTTGAGTGCTCACCTGTTCATCCACAAACTTTTGTCCAAACTCGGAAGAAAACACAGCTGGGATAAAACTCAGTGATGCATATTTTGGTGCTGTACTCTCTCATCATCAAAGCCTTTAAAGGCTGCATGGCGTCTCTGTAATTTACCTGATTATGTGGCTACAGTATCAGGATGATCTGCATACAGTTTGATTTACGCTCCTCAATGAAAGAGTCTGTTCCTTGTAAGTGATATTTCAAACAAAGCAAAATTTAAAAAGCGCTTGAATTCTGCTGGAAGAGATCCCTTAACACTGAGGTCTTTCATCATACAATCATGCGTGCAGCTGGGGGTGATGGTGATTACTGTTGTTTGAGACGGGCAGCTGGATGATGTCGAAGGATTCCTGCTGATCTCCTCACGCAGGGCTTTCCTGTTCCTCCTTGGAGAGTTTCCCAAAAAGTAAATGTTTCAAAGATCATGTTGCATTTTAACTTTTTTTTTACCAGACTCCTCTGCAGTGCAGGGAATATTGTGAAGACAGATCGGATGGTTAACCCAGACAGCAAAATGACCTGACATCAGATTAGAGGGCTCACCGTAGTTTACCTGAGGAAGAAAATGCTACCAGTCATTTTTCTGCTGACACTTAGTCTCATACCTACAAGTAAAAACATGTATGTTATGAAAATTTGCTCTGTTCTTTTTTTCTTCTTCTTTTTTTTTTTTTTTAAATATGCACAGAGATGTTTTTTGTGAAAAATTGGGCCCATCTTACATGTGTGTATATAGATGTACTTTGGTCTGTAAGAGTGGGATGTTCTTGCCTACGTTACCCTCTCTTTACATTCAGCTAATCTATTTTGAATAGATTTTGAGTGTGAAGCAGCACATTTTGGAGCTTAGCATTCTGCAGGGTGATGTACCGTATGAGGAATTCCCCTTAAGTCTTTCAAAAAATTCCAAGAGCCAGACTTAGCGCAGGTAATGATCTACCAGGAATTAGATTGTTGACAAGTGGAAAAATGACTTGCAGGAGTTTTGTACATCTGTCTTTGCCACAACGCTTCTCGAAACCCTCATAAATTGCCCCTCTGCCATCTGTACATCTGTAAAAACACGGCAGAACATTTTGACAGGTTAAGTATTTTCACCGCTGTGTTTGTTCCAGGCCCAACGTGTGTGTGGAGAAGGAGGTGACGCTGGTTGCCCAGAGGCAGCCGTGTGTGCAGGCCTTCACACGCATGGTTAAAGTGTGGAAGCAAGGCTGCGTGGGGCAGCCGTGGTGCATGGGCTATGAAAGGAGGTGAGTAACACACCTCATTTGTGATTCGTCTGCTCCTGCCTTTCAGCTCCCAAAGCCTCAGTCTGTTCCTAAACAAACACTCCCAGCCTCACCTGCAGGGGATGCAAGGCTTTGCTGATTAGGCTCTTTGAAGGGCTAAGAAGTAATTGATTCCTTTTGATTTTTTTTTTTTTCCCCCTTAAGTCGCAGTTTCGCATGCATGCAAAATATTTGTCCAAAAAAGCCACAGTTCTCTACTGAACTCCATTTTCAGACAGGATAAGATTAATTTCCTGATCTCCTCCTCCCTCCCTCACTCCTGTTGTGTAATCCCAGATTTTGACCTGTCATACAGTCAAGTGCACCCCTTCAGTGGAGGTACAAGCTGTTTGATACAGAGGTGTCTCCACGGCCAACATTTCTCCAGAGTCCTAATGTGAACTAATTCTTCCCTCTCGTGGAGAATGTTACAGGAGTTTCTCACTGTGCTGCTCACGCTCCATTTCTTTGCATTATTTATTTACCATTTGACAAAGTCAGAGACTGCTTTGATGGCACCCAAGCCCACAATTACTTGCTTTAAACTAAATGCGTTTCCACAGTGTGTAATGACTGCGGAGCAATGAGAGGGGTCCCAAAGTATAGGGACAGGCTGCTGATAGTGTCACTCTTTAACATCTTGTAAGCCTGGGAACTTTTGCTTAACTTCAAATGCCATGGACTTCAAAGACTCTGAACTGTTTGATCTGGTGCCACACGATACAATAAAGATTACTATTAGCATAGAAAATCTGAGACCTTTTTTTGCATTGGTATTGTGGAAAAATGGGCTTGTTGTCTCTGCTAATTTTTTATGTGACAAAGTGGCATTTGTAATGGGTTTGAAGGTTCTAATGGATATTTATCCTATCAATAGGACGGCGTACTACACAGCATACCGACAGGTTTACCGACAGGATTACCAAACCGTCTACAAGTGCTGCCCTGGATGGTCTAAGCTAAATGGAGAGGCAGGTTGTGTATATCGTAAGTATTTTAAGTTTTGTCTTTTATCTGCTGGGAATAAATTAATCGTTCATATTGTCCTTTCAATGCAAAGCCGAGCAAAGGCAGGTTGGTAGTTTTTTCTAAAATCTGAAGTTGTCGTTTCTGGACTCGCAAAGAGGATGGCTGTCAAACATCGCTTTGCTGCTGGATGAAAGCTTTTACTGAAAATGTTTCAGAGAAAGGTCTAACGGGGTCAAGAGTCACTTTAACCATCCAGACTCCTAAACAGATGTTATCAGTTACCGCAACATCCAAAGTACTTGTGTAGTTGCAACTGTCTTAACTAGATGCAGATGTGGATGCTGGGGAAAATCCTGATTATTAACAGAGTCAAAGTGTTGACATTTGCCTTCAAACTGGGTTTGCGTTGTAGCGTCTAGTTCTACACTCTGAAATGAAAGGAGAAAAGATCCAGAATGGGAGTGCTGACAGGGCTCCACCGTGGGCTGTCTGGTGCCCTGCTACTGCTTGGCTGCAGATGTCACACAGCGCATAGTCTTTGTTCACTTCAATGTAGCTGTGCCTTTCTCTCGGGCAGAGGTGGAACATGGCTGCACGGGTCAGGTGGCTGTAGAATGGATTTGAAAAATGTCTACTTGGTTACTTCATCCCAAAATGAAAAAGACTCTTCCCACTGGTTCCATGTATGGAGAAATCATTCTGCTGGCCAAACTGAAGCTGCCAGTACCTCCTCTTTTTATGGATAAGCTTAGCTTCACACTGCTGAGACCAAGAAACATCCTTTGATGGGATTTTACAGCCAGTGATCCAGATCGCATATCCTGCATACCATGGACCGACCCTTGGCAAAGCTTTTCCTCTAAACAGTTTGTCCCTTGGCCGGTCCACTTGCAAGAAAGTTCCCACTTTTGGTTTTTGTTTTTTTTTTTTTTTTTCAAATGTGGTTGTGTAAAGTAGATTACGAAAAAGAGTCGTTTCATAGAACTGATGAATAGACCAGGTTTAGGGCTGCTTACAATGGGCGATGTGTGATTTTTGACTGTCTAAAACAACTCTAACCTCATACTTTTTAAAATATCTGTTCAGTTTATCCTTGTTGCACCCTGTGAGCTCATTTCAACCAAATAGCGTCCATCTTATAATCAGCTGCTAAACAAGGATTCATTTTCAGTGCGATACCTGTAGGTCACTGATGTTTAGTTGAAAAAATGCCTTTTCAAAGAAAACCATCTTATACAAGAGTGGGGGGGGAAAGTGCTCAAGCTCTTGTCTTTTGCAGCTGAGACACCGACTGCTCCAAACATCCTCACACAACCCCATGTAAAAAGCAGAGGCCAAGCCTGCCTTACAAAGCACATCAGCATGGACAATTTTTTGGGATCACCCTTTTTTCTAAGGAGCGAGGGAAGATCTCATGGATGATCCTGTCATCAGGTATCTTATTATTGCCTCTGTGCACTCTTCAAAGAGCCTTTTGTTTCTGAGGACAAGGTTACAGTAATGAATTGTAAGGTAGGCTCTACATTATCTACACTCTGTGAGTAGTTTGTTTTAAAACACTCAAAAAGAAATACCTTAAAGAGACATTCCTCTGCATTGCTCATTGCCTGTACTTAAGTCAGTCTGTTTGGCACAACAATGGCTTCTCTCTTCAACATGAGCATGGCTTTTATCCCTGTAACCAAAGACGTGGCAGCACTCTGAGATGGGACAAACTAATCACCCCTTTCTCTGAGCCATTGAACCTGGATAAAGGAAAGCTCACACCACAATCCTCCCACTCCGGCGCAGTTTGCTATGTGCCATCTGTACTGTACTTCAGTCAGCACAGCGCAATCCGCGTGGCTGTTTTCAGCCGAGCCTCCAACATCCAAAAGGAAGAATCTTCTTTGCTAAATATACAGCTTTAACAAATCCCCTAAAAGGCCCTGAATGGGAGGAAGATGGGAATGCTTTGTGTTGAGATAGTGATTTACTGTCTTGTACATTTGAGATGTCTTTATGTGGCGACCGCTCTCTCATTCCTGTCATTGTCATTCTTTGTGTGTGTTCTTAAATGAAGCCGGTGTAAAGCAATTAGGGCAGTGACCTCTAGTTAGCTGAGCAGAAGTGAGGGTGTATTGGTGTACTAGAGTTGGTAGTGGTGTCGTTTACTGGTTGCCCCCTCTGCTTTTGTTGCTTTTGTTACATGTTTCCTGCTGTATCCATAGGTAAAGACTGATGTCTTCTCACAGAATTGCAATTCGTGGTTTAAGCTGTTGTGAACCCTAGAATTATTTGCAAAGTATAATTGGTCACATATTTAGAGAAAGACTACACCACAGCACAGCAAAAGTCCTGGTTTCATTGCGCTAATTTCCCCTCCCGCTTGTTTTCCATGTCAGAATTCCATTTGATTTATGAGTGTTTTCTGTTCTTGCAGCATGGTTCAGAGTTCTGGAGTAGTTTACATTTATCTGAGATTTAAATTTATTTGCCTCAAATTCTTACATTTTGGGGCATCTTTATAGGTTTCTCAGAGAATTAACCAGTGCAACTTGAACTCCTTTAAAGGATAACACCATGCTGGCTTGGGTCCTCAGAAAACATTCTGCTTAAGGGTTTAAAACCCATATGTCCTTTTAAAGTGTCTTATGGCGCCTTTCCAACAAAGTCAGGCAGGTGGATGGAGAAGGCAAACTACTGTGTTTAAAAGCCAACCAGTGGTTTCCTTTTGTGACTTATGAAAAGTCTTTAATTTGCTCAGTCACTATCATTCCATTACAAGTAAAGTGCTCTTAACTTTATCATGGCGACTTCCTCCACTTATGAGTTTGGAGGGCCACTCAATCAGTGGGTTAAACTTTTCACTTTGCATGCTGCAGAGGGATGGGTGAGGATGGCCAGGGTGAGCCATGATGTGGAAACAAGCGGTTATAGTGGCTGAATGCAACAATAAGCTTTGTGGCAGGCGCTGAGGAGCAGGGACAATGGCTCCTGCAGTTTGTCGTCCTCGTTAACTGCTCAATAGGAACCGGCCTCCTTTTGTGATGAGACTGAACGTAGCTACATGTGAGATAGACGCAGTAGCCAGAGGGGAGGAAATGGTCCCCTGTAGACCCATGGGTGGTCTATTCCTTTTTCCTCCTTCTTTTTGGGTGTAGGATGGAACAACTACCGTATGGATACAATCAGTCAAATGGAGTGAAAACAACCAGGGGTCCAAGTTGTGGACTGTAACACAAAACGGTGGTGTGGTTTAGACCTACTGGTGTACTAGAAAACTGTATGTGGGGATACCAAGGTCCCCTGTGCTGCAACAAGCCGTTTCTAGCAGAACACTTGAAAATGAAACAGCAGATTTTCGAAAGCTCGGGAACCAGTCAGACTGGGATCATTGTGAGGTCTGCTTGAAGCTGTCTTTGCCAGCCGGAAGGATTTGCAACAGCGACACTTAATTGAATTACATCTAATCTTGTGTGCATCTAGTGAGCAAATAGCCCGGCCTGACACAAGATGTAGACTGAAACCTAAGGCCTCACATGACTCTGCTCGTCAGATGTTGGTAAACATAGATGTGTGGAAATGATCCAAGCTGATGCTTGGGATGGAGCCGAATGAGGGGAGAAAAAAAAAAGATTAAGCATTTTACTTAAAGAATCTCAACATATTGGGTAAATATACTTTAATGCACAATAAGTTATCGTCATATATGTACCATGTATATTTGCATTGGATAACTTGGATTAGTATTGTATTTGTATTGTATGTGTAGTGTTTTAGACACATTCTAACAACGAAAAATGTTAGAAAATTTCAGGTTGCGTCTATGAAATTGCAGGGTATTGCACACACATCATCTATAGCTTGGAGTTATTGTTCCTCTTTGTCAGGCCGACCCTGTGTTTCTCAGAAGGTATGCTCAAATCGTTGGTCCTGGTTTTCACAAGACCCATTTGAAATGACACATTCTTCAGCAAAGCAAAACATGATTTGTTGCCTGAAAAATACTGTGCTTGGCCCTGCGCGTACCAATTATGGCACCAAACTGAGACCTGAGTGCTGGCTTTTGTGTCTGTGAAGTGCCCCAAATGTGGTCTCTCAGTGGGTTGCACTCTGGGGGTTAAAAAGACCTACAGAGCCTAAACAAACAGAGGGGTGCCTCCTATGTTGATGTGGTCACCCCTTTCAAAAGCTGTAAGGGTGACACCAGCTTGTCTGTTTTCAGTTTCTCTCAGCGAGTCACTGACCACTGCTCCTGTCAGTCTTCCCTTTCAGTGGAGGCTGCTAATCCCCTCAAAAAAGGTGTCTTTGCAACAGAGCAGAGGCATTCCCAGCAATGGATGATGAGAATGGGTTTTATGCCACACTGCATGCCACATTAAAGATTTATTTCATCCCGGATTAGGCAGCTAAAGGGACTCTGGAAGGGGGGCAGACCAAAAAAATGCCCTGGTTGGCTGCCAACAGTCTTGCGAGTCTCACATCTCTGAGGGGGGAATGCACATTTCCCGTGTTGACGCCTAGTCATGCTACCCTAAAGTGACTCTGGGAGACGCCTGACCTTTTACTGTGTCGCTGCTGATTTGGTTAATTTAAAACTTTTTAGGAATGTCTCATTAGTTTGATCTTTCACAGCTGGAAGTATTTGGATACAGCTTTTACTGTGCAAGTAAACCCGAGCACTGGCTGTTCTTTCTGGTTGTCTGTCATCTGTTAAATTTTCTGTGTCTCCAAATCCCCTCACATCATGTAACAATCGAAGTAGGGGGAAATGTATTACTGTATCATGGCCTCTGTAACCACATAATCTTAAAGGAGCAGGGACTTATAAAGGGGGCTGATTAGTGCTGGGGCCTTTTTGGAGTGGAATTTCTGTAACCTCACCAAGTGATCAAAATGCTACAGTAAAGGAGGTTAAGTATAACAAGATTTTTGAAGCTCTGGTGTATTTACATCAAGCATGGAAGATGCCAAGGAAGACTAATGATGGCTTATTGTTTTGGGTTATATATCATACTGACTGCATATGTCTGCATGTACGTCTTCCGCTCAATAGTCCACTGCCTAGCAGGTGTCTGAGGCCGGGCCAGACAACCGGCGGATGTTTAGGCTAAGGGTTGATCTCCACAGAGTTCTCTGAATAAGCTGAGAGACATGCGTGAAATTTCTCTGGCTCATCTGTAATTATTAGAGAAGCCTTCTCTCTTCACATTCACCTCCTTTGTCTGGAGATATTATGTGATTCCACATGGTCCAGCTGACACTGTGCAGCTTAAGCCCGATGGGATATGTACTTCAGTTATTTTACACACCCAGAGCATCCTCTCGTTTCCTTAACTAAACGGTTCCTTTTTATAGTTGGGTGCAACTAATTCTTGTTTTTATTGTTGGTTAATTAGTAATCCATTTCAAATTAACTGAATACCTAATCACCTCAGATCTTAATTTAAAAATTCACAGCAGATTATTTCAGCATTTTTAGGAAGACCAACAAAAATACATGGGGATCAATGTGCTTACGGACCAGGAAATGTTTGTGGTCCCTATACGCTCGTTCCCTCCTGATTCTTCCAACTATGCAGGCGTGTAGAAGCACAACTGCATGCATCATGCAGCATTACCTACACGTATTAGAGCAGCGTTTTAATGCATTGCTTCACAATAAGGCGCACAATTTTTCATTTAGAAATATAGTTTGAAAATAAGAAGCTTTGCATGTGAATTATTTATCTACCAATTTCTAAACTTTAAAAGTTATAACCAGGGCCTGTAGTCTTATGATTCTGCCTGATTTACCATTACCTTTTTTTTTTTCTCCTTGTGAAATACCACCCAGTTTTAGAGTTCAATTGAGTTGCTGCTTATGGCTCACCGTCAACAGAACTAATAAATGTGGCCTTTTGAACAATTACTCCTCAGTGTGCCTGTAATGCGTGATGTAAAACTAAAATAAACATTTGAGAAGTCCCTGTGTGGAATCTCTGCAGTCTGGCCTCAGCTTAGCTCCTTCTACTGTTTCCAAAATGTTTGCACACGTTTGTGATTAACTGTCCAGGTGTACGATCTCATGTCAAACTTAAAAAAAAATGTAATATAACTTTTGTGGAAGAAATATGCCTTTTTTTTCCCCCGAGGATTTTTTGCTCATTCAAAAATGGCAATTAAAGTCTTCACAAGACCTCTTAACATTGGGAGAGAAATAAAATAGCTGCTTTCAGCCACGCCCACCGTGTGGCAGCCTGATTTTACCCTGTACCTCATTTAGGCATGGCTGAATTATCCCACTTTGTGATGATGATCAAAAGATCACTTAATCAATCAATGCCATTCTTGGAGTGTTTTTTAAGTTTGTGTTGAGGAGAGTTTAATTTCCTGTCAATGGAGCCTCTTACAAGCTGTTGCTGCCAATCAAATCACTGCTCTGATTCTGTGAAAATGTAGTTAACAAATCGCTGTCAGTCTGCCAAAAGTCCACTCTTATTCTTAGCCAAGTGGTGGATTCCTTTTTCATTGGTTAGTGTGAATGGAGGAGAGTCGGAGTGCATCTTTTGACTGGAGTTAACAGGCTGATGATAAATCTCTGATGGAAAGAGGTCACTGCCTGAAACCACAGATGTTGACATGTTACGAAAACAGCCAGGTGTCCTTACTCACACGCATTTCTTCTGTCTCTCCTCCTTTACCTCCTCTTCTGTTCACACCTGTGCACGTGCAGCGGTGTGCAGCTACGGAGTTTGCTTCAATGGGGGCCAGTGTCGGGAAGGTTCCACCCAGCTTTGCGACTGTCCTGCAGGGTTCAACGGGCCTAGCTGCCAGTATGGTAGGTGCAAGCATCCTAACAGTGTCTCATAAACGCGGAATAATCTCGTTCTGTCCTTTTGTGCTCTTGAAATCATAATCATCCGCAGGAGTCTACATTTTGTCAAATGATTAATAACGATATAACTTCCGTTCTTAACTTGCAAACTTAACGGTCTCATTGTTTGGAACACATAGAAAATATCACCATGTATAGTCAAATGAAGCTGTTTTTCCACCTGTTTTTTCTTAAGGCTCGACTTGGGGAAAGAAAAAAAAAAAAAAAGAGAAAAATTGAGAGAAAAAACTTGATCAGCCGCTTTCCTTTTAGTGACAAACACTGTTTTGGGTCTTTGCTCCAGCCTCCAGTTCTTATCCATGCAGACAGCAACATCAGTGTAAGTGCTAATGAGAATCCCTCCACATCAGCAGTTGGCTTGCTCTCCAGAAGCCCAACTATGTTATCAGCTATTCCATTGTTGAATTTGAGCTGTTAAAGTAAACAGTGGAAGACGCTGTTGTTTTTCCGATAACACCACACGACAGGAAATTCTTTTTAGTGTCAACCTTTTGCCAGAATTATCCAACTTGACCCGAGTCGGAGCCCTGCTGGACACTCCTGTCTGCATTGCATAAGTCAAATGTTGGAGAAGCAGCTGTTATAGTCTCTTGTTGAAACGACTAAACAATACCCAACAAAACACCACATTTCTCCGATGAACCTCCGAAATCTTTTGGATTTACTTCTGACCTGCCAACCTCATCATCAGCTTTCACAAAGGTTCTCATTTTTAGATTTTTATTGATTGATTGATTGTAGTGCAAGTTAATCAAACTGAAGCAGCAATGCATATTTCTCTAACGTATGATGAAACTTGTTAGAAAAAAGTTGTGCTTCTTGCCAGAGATTATTCGATACTGATAAGACAAGGTGCCAGACCAGAACCCACACATGCAAAAGGAACATGCAAAGTCCATGCAGAAGTACCTCAGTTCAGGTTCAAGTTGGAAACCCTCGGCATGGGTAAAAGACAGTAGAGATGAAAGATTATTTGAAAAAAAAAAAAAATACGAGGAATTTGAAAAAAATCTTTGGTCTTCTATTGATCTCTGAACTCCTCAAATTAGCAAAAACTGTGCACAAGTTTTTTCGGCTCAACGGATTGTTTTATCATGCGGTTAAAATTTCCTTATAACAACACTAAAATATGTGTGCATGAGCATTTGAGAGAAAATGTGTGGAAGTGCATGATCTATGAAGTGGATGGTCTACATGTTAACAAAAAAATCGGTTTTAGCCGTCATCATTTTCTTACTCCATCCAAGATATGTCCTTGTACAAATCCAACATGGAAATAACAAGTATGTTTAGTCTTTTTTACTAAAGAGTTGTACTTCAGCACTTTAATAGTCATTACGTCTGATGTGTAAATGTTGTTCTGTACTGTGGATGATTGTTCAGCAATCAGTGCCTGGAAGCGCTTGCCATTAAGGTGTGTAAAGCAGCCCCTACTCCTGTATCATCCTGCTGCTAGAGACCATTTGTCTGTTAAACACCATAACAAGTTGTATTGCTATGATTTGGACTAAAATAGCTGCTGTATGATGGTGCTGGGTCATCGCCATACCAGGGCCAACACATGTGATCAAAGAGGTTCCACGCAGGCCGAAGTAAACTGACAGCTGTTGCCGTGATGCATGTACCGAGTAAAGGTCACCGTAAGAGACCTGAGGGCAAAGAGAATAACTGCAGGCAGCGTGTAAAGTGGTGCACAGAAGAAAGAGCTGTGACATCACTGTAATAAATGACTGTCTCAGAGTGACAGCCCCATATATCGCTCAGCCGTTAGGAGGATCTCTGTGGTGGTCGTTTTCAAGCTATTGTCATATTCTAGAGTTTTGTGGTTTCTTTTAGCACACTGCCCCCACACAAATGTTGTGATGCAGTCCAAACTGTGGTCTGCATGCTGTCTTTCCTGTTGTCATCCGACATATTAATGTCAAACCTGAAGCCCCGGCAGAGGCCGAGCTTCATTCCACTCAAAGATTCACTCATCCTTTTGTCAGACTGTCTTCGGCAGCATTCCTCTGCAGTCGCATGTGGTGATATCCCCTCAAAACCCTTTTCATGTGGCTTGTTCTTGTTTGTGTATGGCAGCTGGGGTGTGTTTAAGTCGTTCAAAGGGGCCAATTAGTCTCTTACTCACCATAGTTCTCCGAGGCGCTCATCTGTTTAGCTATTTGGTTGCATTGTGCCTTAGTGGTGTGTAAGACAATAATTATTATTTTGTTTTTGTGTTTTAAACTATGCAGTAAAGTAAGGATCGTTTCCCAAAGGCAGTAAATCTCATCTGACTGATGAAGACTTTTATGGATCAGATACAGTACTTCTGAAGATCCTCGTCTGCGGTGGTGTAGTTCCACTTGTGCACAGCATCATCTAAATGGAACAATAACCAGCATTGTCTTGAATTTTGTACAAATGTGGCAGACTTCTGCGCATGATGTTTTACCCTACGCTGCAGTCCCTTTTAACATTCTTGTCTATATCCAGTAGGATTTAGTAACGTGTTGCCTGATGTACTTTATAGTTGACTTCAGTGGACAAGTGCTATCCTCCGAGATCAGCACCTTCCAGGCTTTCAGACCTCTGGCAGGGCAGTAGATGTCTTCATACCAGCTGACATCTGGGCTCAGCAGCAGACAGAGGGGCTGTCAGACAGACAGGCTGTCTGGTGAAACTGTTCCTTCTTAGTTTGAGAGTCTTTGAATGTCATACGTTGTGTTTGTGCGGTCAAAGGTAAAACAAGACATAAAGACAGGCATAATTCGATATGAAAAAATACAGTGTTTGAGATTTCTTAATGAAAGAGCTCTTTCTCTAACAGCAATCTGTTTTTCCTTTTATGAACATTTCTGAGCCATCAGCTCATACCTTGGCTCAGTTTTGGGTCACTGCAAAGCCAGGAAGACCAGCTTCATGTGGGCACTTATTCATAAGAGGTTTGGTACTCATGACTATGATTATCATCATAATGTTGTAAATGTTTCAATCTTGTGGAACTTGTTTTTCATGCTTGTTTTTAATTAAGATTCTTACCAGTTACTACAGTTTTCCATCTTGAATATACTTTTGCTCAAAACATGCCCTGAATAAAAAGACACATAGAAGAGGTTACTTCTACAATAAACCTTTTGAAATGGTTGGTTTCTGAAAACTTGTAAGTAAAGTAATGCCAACATTTCTTTTATTTCACTGTTGAATTTACAATATCTGAAGTAATGACATACAGAGGTGTAAAGATATGATGGTGTTTTTACAGGAGAGAATGGTCCTGTTTCCTCTGTTTCTGCTCAGACTGTTCATTCTACATCGTGGCAGCCTATTTGGCAACACATACACATTAATTCATGTGAATCCATCCCATTCAGACGAAAATGAAGCGCATTGTTTGGCTAAAAAATGTTTACTAGTAGAGAGGGGGGAAGACCCGTTTAGATGTTGCTCAGCTTTTGTCATAGATGACCTTTGTGAATCTAAGAGTAGTATAAGAACTTCAGACAAAATTCTAATGCTTTTGAATTCGATTTGGATAGTTTTTCACTTCTTTCGTGTAGATTTATCTGTTTGTTGCTAGTTTCTGAAGTTGAATGCTTGTCTGGATGGTTTTGAGGCCAAGACCGAAACCCTGGTGCTATTGTGGGAAGCCATTGTCCCTTTAAATGTTTCTTGTTGGGTTGCATGCAGGCTTTTATGTACACAAACATAAACTAGGGTCATGTGGTCAAGGGGCTGAATGTAGAAAATGTTTTATTGAACTCTGACAGAAATAAATAGCAGTAGAACTGTAGGCCTGTTCATGTGTGCCGATCACCTGCATCTTGTGATTGTTGCTCACCATATTTGTTGAGGTGAATAACCCTCCTTGAAGGCGCATAGATGTCATGCTATTCTGCTGATCTTCAAAGTTTTTGTGTGTATAGCTGTTGTCAGCTGAGTGATTTCAGACGTTGCTCTTTTGAGGCGTCTTTTGTTCCTCCTCAAAAGCTGTTGCACTTTGCAATTACTTATGGTCGAGTAGAGTTCTTTTCTACGGCTAATAGCCCATCAGTCTGTTGTAACCTGACTCTTTGGGACACAACTCTCTCTCCTTTCCAGTGTAGGCATTCTACATCATCGTAAACCAACTCAAACTGACTAGTACAATTCGCTCTAATGCTTTACACACAAAAGGTCTCCGACTTTTTGTTTAGTTTACTTTTGGTATACATTTTAGCTCAAAGAAGTCCAATGACTTCTGATGGGCACAAATTACACAGTTGATAAATTATTTTACGGTTTAGCTGCTCACTTTTTCGTATTTACATAAATACTGCTTGCATGGTTGCTTTAACTGTTTTTTTTTTTTTTTTTTTTTTTTAAGGAGCTCATTTGACTGGCTTCCTCTGCGCTGCAAATTTCAAGGGAGCACAAAAGTCAAAGGTCAAGTCTGCATTTTTAGCGCAGGATGAACTTCTTGGCTGGAGTCATTGAAAAGGAAGCGTGGAAATGCCACATGGCATTTCACCATATCTGAGAGTATAGAGTCATAGTTAGATTGCTCCCCAAGCTGTTTGGGACTGACAGTGATATGCGCGAGCAGCAGTGGCACAGATGGTACATGCTGGCCGTCTTTTTGCACATTCGGCATCACATGGGTCACGTAAAAGAGAACATCTTTTCACCTTATGGTAAAATCTTTTCCCACATGATTCCCATTATGTGGGGCATGACTGTTTTCAGTGGATTTCTTTTGTTTATATTATCATGTTCCTCTTCGTGCATGCAGTACAGTAAAGTAGTTTCCTTTGTGTGGAATCAGTATGAAATTTGGTGTAATTTTGGTGTAGTAGCATTCAGATCCTCCACATTGTAAAAATAAATCCCCGAAGTCTACGTCCCATTAAATGGTTTTTACACGGGATAAAGAAAAACATTTGCACAGCCTTCATGCTGAGTTAGCTAAGCACTTAAGCAAGGAA